TAGCACTTCATCTTTTTTTCTTTCCTTTTTTGTCTTTTCAGGACCACATTGGTAATACCATAACAAACCTGTTAGTGTGTTATAAAGGTACTAGCTATGACCAAACATACTTTTATAGGCTTCTTTGCATATTTAGGTCATATTATTGAAACGGTTAGCAGATCTCTTACTATTCTAATGGCAAGCACATATGTGAATCTAACCAATTATCTCTACTGTTGAAAAAACCTATATTCTGATATTTATCCTTTATCTCAGTAGTGTTTCTATGAGTGTTATATTTTTGGAACACCAGTAAACAGACAATCGTACTTACAATGACTCCTTGTACATACACATATCCACACAAAAATGTCTATATTGAAAATTGCTTTTTATAATTGCTACCTTTAATTGCAAAGTAATTGCATATTTTGCAGCATGAAATAAAATAACTCTAAATGTACATAAATTTTTGTGTCATTTCTTCCTAACAGATTGATGATAATCCTCTGAATTTGTTTCCTAGCTTGCATGAATAACAGCTGCAATATTTTTTTTCAATACTAAACTTAATAAAAGCTGAGACAGAGCACAAGATCAGTAACATTTTGCAATGACTGCTGGAATTCCATAATCTGAGTGCTGACATAGCTGGTGAAAAAAGCAGCCAGGCGGAGGCAACAGCATTCCCGGTGCAGTGTTATAAGAATGGAAGACCAGCGACGCCATGAGGCAAAGCCACGTGTTGCACTCGGGTCCAGAGGAAATGCCTGATGCTTGTATATTACAAAGGATTTTTGAAAGGGCATTTATTTTTATAGATCTGGATTCAGAGTCAACCACTAAGTACCTACTGTGGGCTAGATAAATTTATATACATATTACTTCAGCGTCTTTTGCTTTTAGATTGACATACCTCATATGCTGGTTCTGGGAAAAAATTGCAAGCATTGATAGTTTTGGTATGTTTTTCCCTTGAGAAATGAAGTAACAGATAATAGCCTTGAGTTGTTGTTATTGTTTTTTAATCTGACTAGTTATTGGTAACATTAACATAGGCTGAGCCAAGACTTTAGAGAAAACATTTTAGGTTACAGAGGAGAAATATTAATGC